ATCGTGCCACTGCACTCCAGCCTGAGCGACAGAGCAAGACTCCATCTCAAAAAATAAATAAATAAATTTAAGTAGCCATATGTAGCTGGTGATTCTCCTGTTGGACAGTTCTAGAGCATATTCCATGCCCTTGGGAAATAATATAAATTAGACAGTTTTCCAAAGGTAAATAAGCTTCAGGAATGCCAACGAAGTGCTGCTAGCTCTTTGTATGGATGAATCTATCAGAATGATCACTCTTCTGGCCCTCCCTGTTTCGAAACAGGGCATCTGCCACTTGGTGTTGAGTATCCCAGTAGCCATTGGATTCTAGACAAAGCTGGCCACACTGATTCTTATGATTCAAATGTTCCTCCTCAACCAAAAAGGCTCAGGGTGTCTCTTGGACTGTCCCTCAACACCTAACTTTCCACTAATTAGTGAAGCATGACTTTTCCATGTCATGTCTGTTCTGGGAAGTTTCCTCTTCATCGTGGCCTTGGGCCCCCGGGAAATTTCAGTGGATGAACAGAAGAAGTGGAAAAGGGGATGAAAAGTCATGTGGAATGGCATCATCCATCATTATGACATCATCACAGCCATAACATCATTGCCATCATAGATCATCACTGTTACGGATTCATTTTCTCCTGAGTTCTTGGTACCCATTTCTTCACATGTGTTTAAAACTCTTTTCAATGACAATAGAAAAATAATAAGAGGGCATAGAAATCGATGAACATGCCATAACGTGGGGAGCCATATAAAATGTGAGACTCGTAATTCCAGCTACTTGGAGGCTGAGGCAGGAGAATCGCTTGAACCTGGGAGGTGGAGGTTGCAGTGAGCCGAGAGAGATTGCACCACTGCACTCCAGCCCTGGCGACAGAGTGAGACTCCATCAAAAAAAAAAAAAATTAAAAAAATAAATAAATAAATAGAGACTCAAAGAAGGGTCAGATGGTTGTGGCTTAAATACCTCTTCCTAGAGGAGAGAGAAATGGAGAGTGTAGGCAGCTTGAGGGGAAATGAATGATTTTCAGGGGATTGTAGAGCCCAATGAACAGACAATGGCCTGGG